GCTGCTGTGAGAAAAGGCTATAAACGATCCGCCACCTGCAGGATCCTCACATGCGATAGCCTACTAGCCGGGACAACTTCTTTATGTTTACAGACGAGACGTAATGACGCAGTGCCATGCTCGAATTTCCCGCGAAAACCTACCCGTACCACTCAAATTAGAAAACTATTATTATATTTATAAGCTAACCGTTGTGAATTGGGCACAAAGGCGATAGTTTTGAACACTGGCTGGTTATTTACTTGATCAAATATTGATTTCGGATCATTTTTAACCAAAGAAAGTTACGGACTGCAGCTTTAACTAAAGTTAACTAATGGGACCTTATTGTAAAGTGTTGCCTATTGTTATTAAACACTTGTTTACTTTTTTTTTTATAAAGTCTTTCCTTAGTAAAAGATCTTTAATAAAGTTATTTAACCTGTCAGGAGTTTTTTTTTTACTTACTAAATTATATATTGTGATAAAACCATACCGTGATAAAAGCTTCAACGACTATTGTGAAAATGTGATACCATCATATACCTAATGTACAATTTAATAGGACTATAAATAATTACATAATTAGAGTCTGAAGCAAAATTATTTAAAAACCTTGTGTACTTTCTGTATTCTGATAAATTAAATAATTGTGTTTGTAAATGTCTCCCTATATCCCCTTATTAAGCTAAAACACATAATTTGAAAAATTTGCATTGCGCCCCTAAATTTTGGGGTCTCCAGCGCCTTCATCATCTCCCTCTGCTTCTTCTTGTCTTCTTTGGAGGAGGAGGATCCCTGTGTCGTCTTGCCTCCCTGACCCTGATCAGAGTCAGCAGAGGAGCTCGAGGAACTCGAGGATCTGGATTCAGAGCGTCTACGTCTGTCTCGATCCCTCTCTCTGCTCTTTCTCCTCCTCCCCTCTCGGTCTTTCTCTCGGCTGGAGCTCCTGCTCTGTCGTCTCCCCCGCTCTCTCTCGCTGCTCCTGCCATCTCTGGCTCTGCTTCGCTCCACGCTGGACTCTGAGCTGGAACGTGAGGAGCTTCTACTGCTCCTCCTGCTGCTCTTTTCATCCTTGTGTTTCTTCTTCGTCTCATGTTTCTTCTGATTATTGTGACTATCACCTGAAGAGCTTAAACAAAGAAATGAAAAAATTTTATGTTCACAATCAGCAGTTTTCAATCTTTTAGATGCCACAGATCCCAAAATATAATCATCCTTATACAAATGACCTCCATCCGAAAATTTAAAAGGCATCTATATAGTTTCTTATATGAAGGCTCAATTTACACTTTGAAAAAAATATTATTATAATTATGTCTAAAATATAATTTGAAAAAAAAAAATTTTCCCGTTATAATTAACTACTATATTAATAAATGAACTATTTAGTGTTTCTTAAATTATAATAGGTGTATTCACATTAATAAGTGTATTAGGGTTTAACAAAAGTTAATTAACATGAAGAAATGAGCCATCAACTATTAATAATTCTTACTTTTTTTTATTGTATTTTTTGTTTCTTATGAACCTTTTTAATATAACTTTTTTTTCTGTAAAGCACTTGATTTACCACTGTGTATGAAATGTGCCTCATAAATAAACTTGCACTGTGTTGCCTATTAAATTTTTTTTTTTTACTATATCAATCAATTATAGTTATTGTACTCAAATCAGTCAAATACAGTGCGAACAGAACAAGGCAAATATAAAGCATTGTACAGTTCAGATTATGTGAAACAAATAATAAGTGTAACAGTTTGCTATTATAATATATATTATGTTAACAACATGTTTATGTTAAAAACAACAAAAATATACAGTGATCATATATTTAAAAATAAAATGAAATAAAAATGACTATATAATATTTGGGCAATTATGTTAATATAAAAAGCTATTTGTTATTTCTTGTTACTATAGCACTGCACTGTTAAATGTATTGTTTATTTTAATGTAACTTGTATTTATTTATTTTGAATATTCTAAATCAGGGCTGTCCAAACTCGGTCCTGGAGGGCCGGTGTCCTGCAGAGTTTAGCTCCAACTTGCCTCAACACACCTGACTGGAAGTTTCTATGCCTAGTAAGAGCTTGATTAGCTGCTTCAGGTGTGTTTAATTAGGGTTGGAGCTACACTTTGCAGGACACCGGCCCTCTAGGACCGAGTTTGGACAGCCCTGTTCTAAATATTCAAACATTTATTTCTATCTTATTGATTCAGTCGTTCATACATGCATACTTTTTTTCACAGTTTTTCTCTAAACTTTCCCACGGACGTCCTCCTACTATATAAACTGAAATTCCTACAGGATTGTTTGATTTTTAGTTTATGATGGTTTTAAGTACCTGTCTCTCTCTTTCGATCTTCGGTGTGATCGTGCTCTTCTGTCTCTGTGATCGCGGTCAGAGTCGCTGGAGTGGCCGGACTCTCTCCCTCGGTGTCGGCTCCGGTCTGCGGATCCTCCGCTCTCAGACCGCGCTCGTCTGCGAGGACCTTTCACGGGAGAGCGGTTCCGACCGCGTCTGTCCTCCGGCGAGCGGACATGTCTACTGGATCTTTCTGAAGGTCGGGACCGCGATCGGCTCCTACGATGCTTCTTCGATCCCATGTTTTGTTTTCAGGTCCTGACTGCGCCGCGTCGCGTAAATAGGCAGTTTACACTGTTGGCAATATTTGTGTCTCTCAAATCAATTATATGATAATACTTAAGATGAAGCAATATGTATTTTTTTATTTATATTGAGAAAATACGCAATTCATAAGTATTCACAAATATTCGTATAATTTCTAGCAGGCAACATATTGGGCTTCACATTGGGGTCCTTTTTGAGGCGAAATGTTGACGGCGCCTTGTTTCTTCGTCTTTTAACTTTCCGATGCACTTATGGAATTGCTCTTACACAACATCATTTTTGGTGTGACATTCTTGATTCTATCAAATGCTATGTGAATCCTAATTTTGAGTTTACTTATAGAAATGTATTTTTTGGTTTTCATGAATGTTAAAAAAAGGTGATATTTATTTCATACATCTTATTTTCCTGTTAGCTAAATACCATATTCATAAATGTACATTTTCTAAATGCAAGCCTCTTTTTTTTTTAAGATTCAAACTTGAAATTTGAGTATTTCAAATGTATTATGAATCTATTGAGTTCTCTACAAACTTAAAAGCAATAAGAACAATGGCTTTGCTAAAGGACTTGGCACTTCCTCTGGACTTCCTCTGTTGTATTGTTATGATTTGACAATGATGACAATTGTTATTGTTTTTCTCAAGCATTCAATAAAAAAAAATGATGCACTTAAAAAAATGTGATACACATTTCGGAAAGATGTAGTGCATTTTCTGTTTTAAATAACTTTCCTCTTTTTAGTGACTTTCAGTTATGATTATGCATGTCCTGTATATTTGTGTCTGATGTCAAAAAGAAAACAAACTACAAACTTTTTTTTTTTCAAACAAATAATAGTTTTATACGTTTCTTTAATTCTATAATCTCACTTTATAAGGAAAGTTTTTAAAATGAGTTTGGTTTAACGTAACTCCTTCCACTGATTTATTCAACTGGATGTGATGCTGTTTGTTGCCAGAGTTGGGTAGAGTATTCCCTCATGCTGATGATACATGGGATAAAAACAACTTTTTTTAAACAATGTTGCTTGGGCACTTTCCCATTGAGAATGCGTAACAAATTTCTATCTGGATTGGTCGTGAGCCCTGTGTCTCACCTGGTTACCCATTGATGGCAGCATTGTCCAAAGTTGCCCCGTGTATCATCAGCCTCAGTATCTACGGTCTTTATGGTGTGGTGCCATGTGGAAAAATGACTGCCTGCCAGATTATGACTCCACTCATTCTCCAGTATGGTTATTTTAATGGTTAAATGTGGGGTGGAGTTAGGATTAGGCAATCAGATAGTGGCTTCAACATGAAGGGTAATAATTTGGCATGCAGGGAGTTAAGATATGGCACTAGGTTGGCATAAGGTTGAGGCCAAGGATGAAGTGAAAAGAGTCCAGCACAGGTCCCCGCTGTCACAGAATTGACAAAATTGATAAATAAACTTAATACACTTTTTAAAAATATGATTTTGAGATGTTTGAGAACGTCCTAATTTGAAAAAAAAAACTATTTAAAATATATATTTGGTATTTAGTAACAAGGATTTGCTTCCTATAAACCAATAGAAGTTTATAGTATATACCTAGGGTCTGTCTGGCTCACATATAAAGAGGTTTGTCGAGGGACAGAGTAAAACAGTGATTCTTCTCTTCTTACTGTTATTAAACAAATGTTGAACTGAGCTCTTTGTGGTGGGAGAGTTATAAAGAGGCTCCTCTGTGTCATTGCACACATATTCAACTTCCTGTTTTAAGAATACAACATCAGCCATCTTGATGTTTGCTACGATGGCAGTCGATCATCTGTTTGCAGCCTTCATCCTTTTCCTTATCTCTAACACAGGTAATAAATTAATAAATGTGTATGCAATCATTGAAATTTCTATTATGTTGTGTCATGTTCTAGTGATTTATTTATCATTTAAATTTGTGCTATATTTGGAAAAAGCATTTGGGTTAAGGATTACAATGATACGATATATAACACAACAAACTGTTCAGGTAAACAGTTAATGGTTGAAATCAGCAATGTGAGAAGAATCAGAGCATGTTATCACAGCATGTTAGAGCATTGTTGAGAGAGAACAAAAATGTATTGGAAACATACTAACGTTACAGCCTACCTGACTCTGCCTGAGAGGTAAGGAAAAATACACTTCTCTGAGATTTTTTTATATCTCTGAAATTTATGATTGTATTCTTGAAAACAATCTTTTATTGCATTATTGAATAAAATATTAGTCATCAAAAAAAGAACAAATGAATAGCCATAATATGGACTATTGTAAATATGTGATACTGTGAGATACTGTGATTTCCTTCTCACATTGCTGATTTCACCACTAGCTGTTCACCTGAGCAGTTTATGTTGTTGTAGCTATATGGTATCATCGCAATCCTTGACCATCAAAACGTAGGTTTAGACATCACCTTTTCTGTCTTATCATGTTCAGGAGATATGATACAAAATACATAATTTGGTAAAAAAAAAAAATGTCGCCATGGCCACCACAAGGTGTTTTGCGATGGTTCCATTTCTGAAAATGTGTAGGGCCACAAACTATACAAGTGCACCAAGTTTCATGCTTTTATGAAAAAGTGAACATTATTTTCACATATCACCTGGACTATTAAGAGTAAAAATGCTTGTATCGTTACTTAAGAACCCCTATGATTTGTTTACTTTTTCCAAATGGTGTGTATAGTGTGAGTTTTATGACATGAAGTAAGATGGAGGTGTAAAATGTTCTGAACTGTGTGTTTCTCTCTTCTCAGGGTTTAGCGTTGAGATCTCTCTGTTTGTGCAGACAGGAGCTTCTGTTCAACTGGATATACAACAACTACCAGAGTTTGATCTTTTATCCTGGATGAATGATAAATCAGAGAGTATAGTTAGATATAACAGTGATTCCAAAAGAGTAACACCTCACGGTTCCTACAAGGACAGAGTGGATTTCAATGATACAACCTTCTCTCTGACACTGAAGAACATGCAGAAGACAGACAGTGGACTCTACACAGCAAGAATAAGTGGATTAATAAACAAAGATTGTGTCACATACAGAGTATCTGTTCCACACTCTCATCCTGGACTGCAGTGAGGAATCCATCTTCTGTAACCATAGCAACCCTGTCAGCTGGAAACAAAACAGTATAAACATCACACAGCTCTGTGAAGGTAAACGTCTGTTTCAACATTGATTGATAACTAGTCTTTATCTCACAAATCAAATCTGTTTTTGTTTTACACATTACAAGCTGCATTTTCTGATTTATAATGATAGTTAACAGACTGTAAACTTACTATGAATAGACTGATTTTTACAGTTCTTCTTATTACTTTCCAGAGAATGAAAGGCAAATCCCAATCTCCTGTGGTTCATCTTACATGTTTGTGCTCCTTATTGTGTGTGTCGTTGTGGGAGTGATAGTGTTTGCTGGTTTGATTCTTTACTGTTGCTGCAAGAATAAAACAGGTTTGTCCATCTCAAATTTACTGAAATAAATTATCTCATACTTAAACCTGAAATATAGATTATGTAGTACTAAAAGTTTTTAATCACTAAAATGATTACTGTACAGGCTAATATTGGATTGGTCTGTAGGATATTAAACCAAGATACATCATTGTGTCTAGTTTTGTCTCACCTTTTGTAGATTTAGGTTTATAATTCATTTTCCTTTGGGTGCACAGCATTTCTCTAAATTGAAAGGATTAGTTCACCCAAAAATGAAAATTCTGTCATTAATAACTTACCCTCGCAAAGAAAGCAAAAATAACGACTTTATTCCACATTTTCGTCTCTACTGCGTCACTTGTGGACGCGCGGGTGAGTCTAATTTCTTTGTGTGGTTTAATGTGTTCCTGCATAAAAGACAATCAAGTGCAGTTTATGAACAGTTTTTCAGTTTTACATATGTGCACATTTAGACCAGCTTTTGGCACATTGTCTTTAATTCAGGATCTGCTACTGCGTCACTTGTGGACGCGCGTTCACGACAGTATCATGATGCGAGCGTGTGGCGGCACAGCGCTGACCCAGATCCGGCGTAATGACGTCATGATGAAACGAAAATGTGGAATAAAGTCGTTATTTTTGTTTTCTTTGCGCAAAAAAGTATTCTCGTAACTTCGTAACTTTACAGTTGAACCACTGATGTCACACGGACTGCTTTGTCGATCATCTTGGTACTTTTCTGGACCTTGAACGTGGTAGTTACCTTGCTGTCTATGGGAGGGTCAGAGAGCCCTCAGATTCCATCAAAAATATCTTAAATTGTGTTCCGAACAGTAATTAATGACAGAATTTTCATTTTTGGGTGAACTAACCCTTTAAATAAATAAATATATATTTTTATTTTGTTACATTTTTATTGTCTAAAAGTGTTTTAATAAATACATTCACCAAAAATGTATTGACCCAAAATGTATATTTAAATGATGATGTAAATATGTTTCTGTACCCCTTGAAGTACATTTTGTAAAATATTGAATTAAAAAAATATTGTATTTGACAAAAAATTTAAAACTCCGTAACGTAATACGACTTATAGGTAACAAAACTTTTTTATGAAGCATAAAAATCTAATTCGCATTTGTGACAGGCTGATTTTTTGTCCATATTGAAAATTTTTCCATATTTTATCTCCTGAAGGCTTTCTTTCTTTAAAATTCTTTAATTCAGGATCTGCTACTGCAAAAAAAAAAATGTGATTGTGATCTTGGAGGAAATGTGTGTTTCAGATGCTGTGGAGGCTCCTGTCCTGACAGTGAACTCAAACTGGTTCAGCAGTGACTCCTGTACTGTGAACTTCACATGCAGAGCTCATGAGCTCATGATTACCTCTAGCTATCAGAACAAAGTGATCTTTTCAGAGGTAGAGATCTTTTCAGATTTTTGCTTGTGTAGTGTTTGCTTGTGCAGTAGGTTCCATTTGACTCTATAAATATTACAGAGACTCTTAAAAATAAACTTTCTCACAATATCTATCATACACTTTTATATTAAGAGCAGTCTAGTGAATCCAGAATATTGGTCAATATTAAACTTATAGGCTGTCAGTCTGTCTTACATGAGAGAAATCTCACCTTTTTGAGTCTAAAATCTGACAGAATCAAATGCAAACAAGCATGTTTCAACACAACCGGTAATCTGTGCAGTAAACTTCTATTCTGACCTCTCAGGTGTCAAACAGGCTGATGATACAGACTATGATGATGTTGAGGTGAGATTCAAATGATATTCCTGCAGACGTCAGATAATAAATGAATATTAACTGTGTTTCACTTGACACATCTGTGATGGTTTGTTTTATTTCTTTTCAGAATATGACCCAGAAGATGACAGGAGATACATGGACCACCGTTACCTACTGTACAGTAGGACGACACCAAACACCTTCATGAATGCTAAAGACTCACAAACAGCTTCCTGACTTAATGACTCCTGTGGAAATGTACAGACACTATTTTTATTGTGAGTCTAATATTCAGTCAGTCACTGCAGATGTTAAAAATGAGCACTTCTCTGCTTGTTTGTGCTGTTTGGATTTGCCTTTCTTGTCCAGGTTTCTGTTGAGCAAGAGATTTTACGATCACATTGGCTCACAGTTCACTCAAAAGTGAATGTTCTATCATAAGTTACTCACCTCATGTTGTTCTAAACCTGTATGAATTTCTTTCTTCTGTGGTAGAGATTGTAGAATGTTTCAGCTGTTTTTGTCTATACAGTCTCTGAAGTCAGTCAGCTCAAATTCCAAAAAGAGCATATAAGCAGCAGAAAAGTCATTCATACAACTCAATTGGTTTAACCCAGTACAAGTCTTTTAAAGTGATAAAATCAATTTGTATGATGAAAAGAACAGATTTGGTGTAAATTAAAGTAAATAATTGATCAACTCATGAATCCAGAGCCCAAATCAAATATGGCGACAAATCAATAACATCTTTGGTGCTGATGTCTTAATGACATTAAGTCACTTGACACACAAGAACCAGTTTAATGTTCTTGACGTGCCACACTTTCAAATCCATCGTTTTGAAGTCAGTGGATTTTAATGGGTTTTGGTTAAATGCCTGAGAAAAAAAAAAAACTCAATATATTTTCATGTTTATTCTATGACATAATAAAATAAACAAGTTGGAAATTTTGGGTTAGACCATTTTGCAAGAGCACAATTGTAAACACAGTGCGACTGTAAAAGTGGACTAGTGAGTAGATGAGTTTACCTGTTCAACACGACGACCTCTGTATTTAGCCACTTGTAAGAAACCACCTTTGTCAAGACACACAAATGTTTAAAAAAATTCAAAGAATTCAAAGTGGGGTATTACTAATTTAAATGACAATTTAAAAAGTTGCCAGTAGCTTAGTGGTGGTGACATTGAAGTCATGTAACTGTTAGTTTATAGCCTGACTTCTTTTACAGGACAGACTGTCATTGGTTCCTTAGTGATGTCAATGCACAAGACCAATTTCAAATACCCTAAATAAAATCTTTGCTGACGTCTGCAAATAGTGTTTGACTGCACAACATCAAACCACACACAAAATGTGTTCGCATAATTAGATGTCTGGCGATTGTGTTTAGGCTTAAAAATTCATATAAATTGTGTTAATTTGTGAAGATTATCAGGATGACTTAAACATGTAAGAATCATGCACATTTGTTGAGCTTATTTTCTGCAATTATACAAAAGCCAGTGGAAAAATCCTATTGGGTTTTGTTGAATGAATCAGGATAATGCAAATGTCTGGGTGTTGCTTACAAAACAGGCATGTCATCACTGCAGCGCTCTATTGACATTTTTTTGTCACAAAAAACCGGAAACATTTTTCTAAATATCTTCTACTGTGTTCTGCAAAAACAGGAAAGTCATGTATCCCATCATTGTACGATGGGATAAGATTCAATGCCTCATAGTATTGAAAACATTGCCATCTACTCGCTCATAAAATTTACACCAGCCATAAAACCTGAAATATAATGTCAACTGAAAATGTTACTAAACAGAGCAACTCATTTTATTGTTCTAGCAATTTCTTACATAAGTATAAGTTTTGTAAAAAAATTTTTTTTAAATAATGTTGACATCAAACAACAAAAAACAATCAAAAGTCCAAAAATCTGACAAAAAGTAGAAAAAAAACTGTTTATTGATCAATTTAACAACCATTAAACTATTAAATGTACACTACACTTCTCACAATTCAACCAACCCTGAAACATTTAACAAATCTATAAAAATTATAAACCACTATGTGACGTTTGGTACAGTAGACTTCATATGATGCCATGTATTTGTCCATGGTTCTAATACAGTGTTTCAGTCAGAGACATTTATAGGATTTTTCTACTTAATAAATGCGCACTGATAATAAATCTACCTATGTCTTGTGTCTTTAAGGACATTTATTTTACTGTGAGTACAGCCTTAACAAATTGCTGAAACAATGATTCTTATGATTTATGTCACCAAATACAGGAATGTGAGTTGATTACACAGGATGAGATGGAGGTGTAAAATGTTCTGAACTGTGTTTCTCTCTCCTCAGGGTTCAGTGCTGAGACCTCTGTGTTTGTTCAGACAGGAGCTTCTGTTCAACTGGATATACAGACACAACAACTACCAGAGTTTGATGATTTCTACTGGACAAAAGATAAATCAGAGAATTTAGTTAGATATACAAATGAATCTAAAAAAGTAAAACTTCACTCTTCCTACAAGGACAGAGTGGATTTCAATAAAAAAAACTTCTCTCTAAAACCGAAGAACATGCAGAAGACAGACAGTGGACTCTACAGAGAACAAGTGGAGAATCAGAGAACGATATTGTTACATACAGAGTATCTGTCATAAGTGAGTCTGATTTCTTTGTCCGATTGAATGCGTTAAAAGACATAAGAGCAATTTGTTAAATTTTTTCACTTTTATATTTAAACCAGCTTGTTGCACTTTTTTTTAATGCATCTGTTTTTTCTGTAACTTCAATTACAGTTTTTCTCAATCAATTTGACACATTTCTCCAAACTCAGGTCACTGTTCTCAAAACAGATAACACTTTGTAATTGTCCTAAACAGATTTTACTCTTTCATTCATTTCATACAAATTACGCAAATAATGTGCACAAAACTCTCAAATGTTTTCACAGTAGTTAATGCAACCAACCAATACTTTAAAATATCTGAAAAAAGGTTTTACACAAATCGCAAACATTTATGTACCATTTGTCCAAACACAACAAACAAAACTCTGTAATTTGTCATTCTGTCAAATGTATATTTTCGATTGACCCTAAACTGATAACTACTCGGTTAATTATACACACAACAGAGGAAATGCAGTTTTCCTAATCGTTTACACATTTATTACAATTGCTTTAGAGAAATAAATAAAAGGGAAAGGATCAGTGGTGTAATGTAACGAAGTAATAATACTTCGTTACAGTAGCTCTTTTTTGGGAGTATCTGTACTTTACTTGAGTTTTTATATTTCATCCCACTTTTACTTTTACTCCACTACATTTCCTAATTAAAATGTATACTTTTACTCCGATACATTTCCCCGAAGCACAGGCTATTCGTTACTTACTGCAAAATAGTCAGAAGCAGAGGCGGACAGTAACTAGTACATTTACTTGAGTATTGTACTTAAGTACACTTTTTGAGTATCTGTACTTTACTTGAGTATTATTTTTTCTGGAAACTTATGACTTTAACTTCACTACATTTGAAAGACAAATATTGTACTTTTCACTCCACTACATTTCTATCAAGATCCTCGAAGTAGAAAGTCGTTAGCTTTGAAAGTCAGTGGGTGATTTCTTTCTTTCAGACAGTTTATCAGTATAGGCACGTGCCTAGAATGCCTATGCGTAAATCTGGCCCTGGAGCAGTGTTTCGAAACATCTGCGCTTCGGGATCTCGACACCGTGTCGAAACGTCAGTTTCGCGTCAGCCATCCCTACAAACAGGCTGATGATACAGGCTATGATGATGTTGAGGTGAAATTCAAATGACCTGGTCAAGTCCAGGTTAAATTATGCTAATGGATATTCTAATGTTAGCTATAAAATAAATCAAATCTGCAGTTGTAACCAACCAAATGATTCATGTTCTCTTTTGAGCACTATAATACCAGCAGAAACTTAAAGATACCAGAGACTTAAAGAGTGTGTTCCCAAAATACACCAACACATAGACTTTCCAACACGGGGAAACAACACTCTGGACTTTGTTTACACCACACAGAGAGGAGCTTACAAGGCCCTCCCCCTCCCCCACCTCGGTGCCTCAGACCACATTACTGTCATGCTAATGCCTGCATACAGACCGCTCGTTAAATTCTCTGTGTGTATGTGCTGTACATGTGGAAGAATTGACAATAAAGCAGCCTTGACTTGACTTGACTTGAGAAAGCTATCCATCAGAATTCCCATTCATCTCCAAGACAGTTGCTTGGGTGCATTTATTACTGGTAATGAACAGTCTTCTAAATAACTAAATGAAAATGTCAAGAGGTCAAGGTTTGGTTTGTTAGCATAGCCCAGATATAACTGTAAAAGCATCTCATCATGTGTCATACAGCCCAATTTACTGTGCTACTTACATTTAAGCTGAAGATTCTGTTTTTAAATTTCAGTTTCACTTTTCAGTACAATGGCTGTAAATCATCTACAGTACTTTCATCCTTCATCCTTCTCTTGATCTCTTAACACAGGTAATAAATTCTTACATTTTAGCAACATACATTACTAAAAATTAACTGAATTACTTGTCTCTACAATACAATGTTGTCATAACTCATTACATTTCTGTTTTCCGCTTTTGGTTTGTCTGTTTTTATTTGTATACAGCTATTTTTCATATGGACGAATCTAGATATATAAGGCTGTCATCTTAAGTAAGCCAGTGCAGTATTGGGTTTCATTTTACCAGAAATCATGTGACTTATCTGAACAAGAAACCTGTATCCTCTTTATAGCTCACATTTTCATTTGTAGTTGATCCGGGCCAATGACCATCAGTCTATAAAGTAAGTTAGGTATTAACTAACTTTTGAGAATGAGATAATCATGAACTTTATATTCGAGAGGGTGAAGCTGTATGATATATGAGGCTGTCTGAGATTCTCTTGTCTTGAGTTATTTCAGTATTTTGAATCCTTTTGACTTTCAAGCTTGGATGAATTCCAGTCGCTGATCGACAGGTGATTTACATGTATTATTATTAATTTTAATTATTTTGATAGTTGTATTTAATGACATGATGCATAGGTTGTATATAATATTGATAATGCCCTTAATCATTTTATTAGGTTATTTACATTGAATCATGTGAATCCACATGACATATCCTTTTTTGTTTTTTGCTTATGTCACATAAAATGTAATCTTTCATCTTTA